TGGGCAGGAGTACCCTCCTTGGGAGGTCAACGTGTCATCACAGATGTGTGAGCTCAGCAGTCCCAGGCCGCCACGTCCCAAGTCCCTGGGAAGTCTGGAAGGGCTTCTCAGGTGCTCACCTATCCACATGACCCAGTCCCAAACCTACTCCCCCAAGCCTGACTGCGACCCCATTCCCATTATAGACGAATGGCTGTGCTAGTGATCACCCAACCCGGGAGGTATTTGTGAAGGAGAGAGGGCATGATTACTTGTGCTTTGTCTCCACATGACTCCAAAGAGTCCTTTACAAAAGAGTAGCTGTGAGAGGTGACAGATGTGTGAACTAGCCTTACTGTGGCGATCACCTCACAAATATATGCGCCAAACCATCACGTCCCTAAGCTCATCTGGTGTCATAGCCAGCTACAGGCCAAGAGAGCTGAGAGCAGGGGAGAGTATTTGGCTCCATGCTTTCAAGCCCAGGTGCACTTGAAGGAGGTGGGGGCTTGGGTTTCCCCCATCAGACACATGCACCCATCTATTATTTTTTGAAGAAAGATCTAGAATGTTAGGCTTAGAAGGATCCACACCCTACTTGCTCTTTGGGACTCTTTTTATTGCAAATGGCATTCAGTTATTTCTCCTCTAACATTACGGGTGCTTGGAAAACCTTTTCTGCAGAATTGCTCACAGTCGTTTTCCACTGTTATTGCTTTGGGGTTTTGCAAATGTTAAAATAACACAGGCAACACAGTTCTTGGGGAATGCAGGGCTCTTCCCAGGGTTTTAAAACTTCACAAAACTGAGCTTGGTGGTGCATGTTTATTGCAGAGATGATGACAATCATATATAGTAAGTCTATACATTAAGGTTGTTAAAATTGCAAAAAATTCTACATGTGGGCAGCATTTTTGGAAAGCAGAATATTTACCACCAGAACAATATGCAATGGTGCCAGGCTGGTGTACAGCAGGTCTGATTCACAGCAGGACCTGAACAAGGGTTGGGGCATGTAGCCCACCCAGAAAGGAAACAATCATTTTCTCCCCCTTTTCTTAGGCAGGTAGCAAGCTAAGTCACCTCTGACAGCCTCCTGTCTCCTAGAAAATCCCTCCCATGTCCCAGGGTTCTTCCCCTATCACTAAGACCTCCATCAACACAAGCCTCCAAATGACCCCCTTCACCTCCCAGCCTAAACCTGAATCCCCTTGGGCAGCCAGTCTCACTCAATGATCCTACCGCCCTAAGGCCCTCTAAGAATGCATGACTGGAGGCCCAAGAAAAATGATGCCCGTTAATCAAGGAAATCTCTACCTGGCTTAACTTCAGACATGGCAGCATGATGGAAATTTGTAGGACACAGAGAGAAGATTAGGGACAGGGTGAAGGAAAAGATGACAGGCAGACAAACCTTGTCCAATACTAATTCTAGGGCAGCCTTTGTGAGCTACTTCTACTTCAAGGTTCTAAAAGGAATTGAATGGGGTGTGTATGTGTATGTGTGTGTGTGTGTGTACCATCCCCGTGGCACTGGTGGTAGAGGGCTCAGGACAGGAGGCGGCGGCCATGCCAGGTTGGTGAGACAGGGAGAGAGAGAACCATTTGCCTACATGCCTCCTTTCAAAGTTATCAGTTGTATATCACAGGTTTGTGTGTGATCTCTCTGCAGGAATAGCTGTGTATGTACAAGAGAAAGACAGATGGAGAGCAACAGAGAGGCGGAAAGGCAGAGTAAGACTGGGAGAGGTGGTATGCAGTAATTTTGATGAGTATCTGAACTACAGACAACCGTTGGAAACTCGGTCATGTAACCTGATCGTGGAGGACCTCAATTTGTTGCATGTGTCCCGCAAGCACGGACTCCACGGATCCGCAGGTCATAAGCAGTGTTGAGAAGATAAAGGCACCCACGTGCAGAACTGCCATATAAATGCAGGACATAGATGGGGCCTTTAAACCAACTTTCTAAAAGGTAAAAGCTGATTCCCACATGGAGACATCTCTCAAAGAACAAAAAGACACTAATACCCAGAATCTCACCTTTCTACCTGATGCCTGAAAAATCTTAATTAAGGTGCCTGATCTTCGGTCAGCTCGAAAAATATAAACCTGTAGAATGAAAAAAAGTCTAATTAAGGTGTAAGCAGTGACCCAAGATGTTTATAAGCATCCTTCCATGAGTCCTACTTCCAGGCGACCAGGCACACAAGTACCTAGGCGGGCAGATAATAAACCAGATAAGCCAGTTGGCATAGCTGTGCTTCACCAGATCAGCAAAGACAGCTCCCTTCCATCCCGAGGCAGAGTCAGCCCCTCCACTCCCAGATCACATTGTTTGCAGAAGCCATGCACAAAAATTACCAGTGAACAATTCAGCTCTTGCACAAAGTATTTTCCTCCTTGAAATATGTCCTTCATTCCTATCGGTTAGAGCTTCAGCAGGTATCACGACACAAAACAGAGGGATGAAGGCATTTTAGACAACAAACTGCTTGCACAGAACATGAGAACCACGAGATCTGCTTGGGTATGAGTTTAGTTGGAAGATGCCAGTGTTAAACATTAGATTCCTTCACATGTACTCCAGAGTCATGGGACTCTTTGGAGCCATTAACAGGCACCTTCTCACCATGAGTCTCCCCACAGAGAGGATCAGTGATGCAGAGCTTCCCAAATTCCCAAACGATATGACTATGGAAGTTCTTTTTCAAGTTGCCTCCTAAGGGACAAGCACTCCATGAGAACCAGAGTAGGGAACCCTCCCGTGGGGTAAGGAGCCACCATCCTAATATGAATGCATTCATGCCCTGACACCATAAACGAACAGCCACCAGATTCCTGAAGGTCAGAGGTCCATTCTGGGGTCCTTGGGAGTCAAGTTCATCCAGACCCGTCCCTGGGGACATGGAACAGTCAGCAACTTTGTCACTGGGGCAGAAGCATTTTTATCAATACTAGAGATGCCTGGTGGCAAGTGGCTCCTCCCTGGAAGACTTCGTCCGGGGCAGGCAGCTCTGGGAGCTTCTTCCTCCACCACGAAGAGGAACTCCGTGACTCTGAAGGGCCTATCTCATTCTTGATGCTATTAAGTCATCTGCACACCTCCCCACAGCTCCGTGCCCTGGCCTTTTCTCTCATTTTCAAAGAACCTCTCTCCATGACATCAGTGTTGGGGGCAGGAGGCACATGCTCACATGGACTCCAGACCCATGAGCTGTGGCTCCCAACTCCTGCTCTGGGGATCAAGGGAGATGACACCCCTGAACCTCTCAGTCAAGCCCGGTCAGCTCATCATTCCGACATCCTGGCTGATGGCTCTGACTCACAGGGCTCTTGGCCCATTCAGGCCTCCCCAGAATCCAGACCCCACTTCTCCAAGCCCCAGACTCCATCCGAAGTCCACCGCTGTGGGCTCAGGTCCAATGGCCATTTCTCTCTTCACTCTCCTATCAGAAGACTTGTGGAGTGTGTTAGGACCTGCTCACCTGGATTTCCTCTGCCCTGGGGCAAAAGAACGAAATGCATATCCTCCATGCTTCAGAGCCCGGGGAGGCCACGACTCCCCAAGGGAATCAGCCAGGCCTAGATGCGGCTCCTGTCGGTACTCTGGGAGGGTACTTAGGGAAAGTGACCCCTGTGTTCCCAGTCCAGCCTTTGGGCTGAACCAGTCTTGGTTCTAAAACATTGGGGAAAATAAATATGAATCTAGTTCCAAAGATAGAAAAATGAACCCCAAAGATATCTGGAACTAGACCAGGCTACATTAAGTCAAAGTCCAACTTGGGAAAAGATCAGGAGAGTGGAGGGTTCATGATCACATTCCTCAGGAGGATCCCAGGATGTCGGGACAAGTATGAATAATCACATAGTCGTCTGTGAAACAGGCCCTCAGAGGAGGTATGCAGGGAGCTCCTAGGAGCAGGGCTCACCCTCCAATGCAGCTTTCAAGGGAAACCCTCAGAAGCAGTGGAAGGAGACAGGCAGAGGGCCCTCGTCACTTGCCTGCCAGCCCCCCAGGACGTGCAGTTCAGAGAGAGGGGACAGACCTCCAGAACAGGGAAGCATGCCCACCCCCCTTCCGTTTGACCCCATGGTGTTTCAGACCTTTCTCCTCACCTTCCCGATGCCATCGTCCTGAGGGGCGCCGCCTACCACGTCGGTGGTGGACAGGTGAGAGAAGTGGCCGGCCGTGACTGCATAGCCTGTGAGGATGGGAGGTAGTCAAGGGCGGGGTTGAGAAAGAAGGACAGGGAGGAAAAAGACACATCAGAGGACAGTTTCTCAAGCACCCCTGTTGGGGCAATTATAATACAGTTACTCCTGGATCACAAATCACCAGGTTACGAATGGCAGCTGTCAGTCTCCCCATGCAGAAATGGCTCAGCCCACAAAGACCTTGGGCAGGAAAGAGCTTTCTGAGCATCCACCTTACAACAGGTCCTGGGCTAGATACTCTATATGTCTTTACTTTTTGAGATGTAATTTTCATAAAGCATGCACATCTGAAGTGTAGATAGAACTCGGAGAATGTGAACACATGTCCATAACCGTGCAATCACCACCCAGTGATGTGAGCATGGACCTATACGCTAGGCTCCCTCATCCCCCCTCCTGGCCAGCACCCACCGAGGGAGCCACCATTCTGATCCCATCACTACGCATTAGGTTTGCAGACTCTCCAGCCTCCCTCAGCGTGACACCTGTGACATTCACCACCTGCTGAGTAGAAGGTAGTGGTTTCTTTATATGATGAGTCATGGTCTGCTGTACTTCACTCTCCTACCGCCGGGCACGCAGGTTGTTTCCAGGTGTCACAAATAAAGCTGCTATAAACGTCCTCACCCATGCCTTTGGATGCCATTGTCTCTTTGCTTCTCAGAACTCTGAGGAAGGTGTGATTATTTCCTCCACTTTATAGATGTGGCAACTGAGACTAAACATGCTTAAGCAACATGCCCAATATCACACAGCAGGATTCAAATCCAGTCTGCACAGCTCCAAAGCCCCCGCTGTTAATCATTATGCCAATTGTCCCAAAAGCCAGAGGAGCTGATGATGGGTGGGAGCAAAGACTGGATGCAAGAGGAGTCTGGAAACAAAGGTGCAAGTTTTTTGAGCTCAGTGTGAATGTCACCTGCCTTCTAGGAGCCTCGCTGGCAGGCTGGGGGCACTCCTCTAGCCAGAAGAGCCCTGTCAGGCTCCACATCCTCCAGATCTTGTCATCGCCTCCACTCCTAACGCTGTGATCACAAGCCACTTGGGTGTTGTGATAACACTGTACTGCGATCAGATCTTATCCACCGGGTGGCTGATTTCTCTCAGACCGGAGGCTCGCATCACCGAGGAGCAGTCGGAGTGTGGTCAAAGCCCATGTACCCAGTAATCCTGGCAGCAGTAAGTGCCTGTGTTTGTGTGCAAGGGGAGCCACATGCCCTGTGGTTCAAAGGACTGATCCCAGACCCTACAGCCACACCCAAACTGGGCTCTCTGCTCTGCCTTCTCTGCATTCACTGATGGAGTCGACACATGCCAAGTCCTACCGTGCACCAGACAGTGTACCCAGTCCTGGAACATCAGACAAACCCCCACCTCCAAGGGACCCCTGCCTAGTGAGGGGTCTGTACCAGTGGTCAGTGCCGTCTCCATGGCAGGCACAGGCAGCTCAGCATTTATTTAGACTCTGGGCTCAGAAACCACGGGTTTAAACTCCTTGTCTATTTACAAACCATGGGACACTGGCAAGTCATATTAACTTCTTTGTACCTCAGTGTCTTTACCTATAAAATGTGGGTAATCAAAATAGGTGCCTCATGAGGTTGTTTCAGGAGTTAAATAATATGCAGAGGCTGGCACAGAGTAAGTACTCAATAAATGACGGCATTAGGAGTTGGGCGTGCAGAGCAGCGAACACCCCAGAGGCTCCAGGCACAAGGACCCAAGTCCATGTTAGTGGGCAGAACACCTGTAGAGAAGAGAAGGGGTAGTCTGACTCCCTATTACCACCCCATGAGTGAGTCTCCATGCAACAAGGGGGTCAGGGGCTCCCCTGGATTGAAGTGGCATGTAATGATGAGAAAGAACATTGCTTTCTCGTCATTAGGCCTTCCTAAATTCAGCTTCATTTCAGTCCAGAATCACGGCACTTAGCGCATGCTTTAAGGAGCCATGTGTCCTGCCACATATAGAGGCAAAGACAACCTGTCTCTGTTCTTTGTCTTGACCGCACGTCATTTCTGCCTGGTGGCTAACTTACATTGTGTCCATCCTCCTCCTATAATATTAAAAGGGCTGAGAAATTTTACTAAGCCTTAACTAAACTTCATGCTATCTGCCATGCTAATTTTGGTTCTTATTATTTCCATTTGCAAGCAGGAAGCAGAGACCTCACCCAAAGGAAAACCATGGAAACCACTCATTTTCTATCTGACCATCTGAACTTGAGTAACTGCTAAAAGAAGAAAACAACATGTTTGCTTCCTAGGAGGTTCAACTGGCAGCATTTGAATTATGTCACAGTTTTAATTCAGTCCTCTCGTCGATGTTAGGGTGCCCTGGTTGAAAGTGTACATAATCAAAGCAACAGATGTAAAAGCGAACAGACTCTTCTTTCTACCAGTAAAGCAACTGTTGATGAGCTTGGGAGTAACGGCTCCCCTTTCTTACCTGTCACCTCCCTGAGCTACTCACCCAGATAAGTGTACCGCCTGTTCATGATCACATCGTCATTCAGTTTGAAATAGGTGTTGTCTGTAAGGTTCAGCACTTTGACAGTCCCAGCCCAATAAAACGACCCTGGGGCTCCCATGACCACTAGCTCCTGCAGAAGAGAAGCCCAAAGGTTAACTGGGTGGCGGCGGCAGGGGAGGTGGCCCCATGAGAGCCGCAACAAAGGACTCATAATCAAACCACAGACACCTCACTGAGGACTTTCTTCAGCTAAGCACTAAATAAAGATGGAGACCTGAGCGAGTGACAGAATGGGCACCCCACCAGGTCCCATCCCATCCATGGATGAGGCTTCATGTATTTCCCCACTTTGCACCATGATCAAACAAGGAAATGGCAAAGATGTGACAAAGTCCTAATTCACAAAATCCCAGGGAATATTGCTCGTGGAAAGACACCACCTCCTCACTCAGCCTGGCTTCCAGCCCCGCCATCTGGCAGCCCTGCCTTCCCCACACGGAGCAAGAGGAGAGCAGGGACCTAACGCAGCTTCGCAAAGACCACCGCTGATGCTCCAGAAGATCCCGCTGGTCCTCCCTCAGGAATCTCATCTCAGGAATGGTTCTCCACTTGGTTCTCTGGCCATTGTGGCCTGCTGAGAACTCAGAAGAACAAAATCAAGAGCATAGAGAGGACCGCAAAGGGAAGGACACAGACTGGAAAGAGAAGAAGCCACAGACAGCAAGAGACAGCACTACTATTAAAAACAGACCCAAAAACACAGACATGGTGTCGTCAACATTCAGGTGAAGGGCAAATGGTCCTGCACCCTTGACAAGCCTGAGAGGTTTGTGCCACAAATCCACCTAACAACCAATAGTAATAATACAAGGGATCAGAATTGATTCAGCTACCTACTGGCATCAACCGGACACCTGCATGGTTTTGCCCATAGGAGAGGCATCATAACTGTGCTAGTCAAAGTTGGAAGCGATCTGAGCAAGGGGTTCAGCAAGAGGGATTCTAAATCAACAGAATTCCACAGCTTTACACATCCATAGAAGATCTAACAGCACTGAGACATAGCCATGAAGTGCTATGAGTTAAAAAGGAGATGCCTACAATATGTATGCAAGATGAAGTTTTATAAAAGACACACACATACAGACAAGGACCAGATGGATAAGCCCTAAAACCTTTGTGGATTGTCCCACTGGGTGACAAGACCTCAGGAATCTCTCTTTTATTCTCTTTTATCTCTAAGGTTTCTTTGTGGCTTTCAAAATTCTAGAACAATGATTTGACCCTAACAAAGAAATCACCTTAGAAAATGCAAAATGTGCTCCTGGAAGGACACCGTACAAGCAAGAAAATGGAGCATGTGCCATGTGGAATGCACGGTGGTGAGCAGGCACCCATCGCCTCCTGTACCCACAGATGTCCCTCATCCCTTCTTTCCACCACAGCGAATCCCTTCTCCTTGATTATCCATATTTTCTAAAGTATCTACACAACAAAAAAATTTTTTTCTAACAAAATCATCAATTTTTCACTCTACAATATTCATTAAGCATCTACTATTAGGTATGAAAAGCTAAAACTAGATACACAGATCAATCAAGTCCCTTTGTACAACATTCCCAGGATAAAACAACATGGAAATGTACAAAATAATTCAGAAAAAGTGCTATCCAAAGGGGTTAAAATAGAGACAATTTTAGAAGAAAACACCTCAGCTGCACAAAATGCCAGAAGGTAGAGGCCGTCCGGGCTCCCAGAGTGACGGCATATGTGGGTCATGCCCCTCATCGTTGAAATACACCCACCCCTCCCTGGCCTGTGAGCCCCCTCAGACTCTTCATCTTGGAGACAGCTTTGGCAGCTGACCTCTCTCTGCAGAGTGGGCCTCACCACTGTCAGACGCTGGTTTCCAACAAGTCCCTGGAGGCTAGAGCCTGATGCAAGGATTCTGATTTTCTGATGGCAACTCATAAAGTCACATTGAATTCTCAGACAGCCAATGAACAAAAAAGCCAGAACCATCTAAAGAGAAAAATCAGGGAGAGGAGAGCGAGTGGGTGGGTGGGTGTGGTGGGTGAGAGCAGGGGCCTGGGGGGTGCTTCCAGCGTGTTCTACAGTCACTTTGGGGAAGGACCTTGAAGCGCAGGGGTGGACACAGATGGGAGACATGCCACCAGTCCTTCCGGAATGGTCTGCTCTTAGCTCAAGAAGGAATGGACCAAGAGGGACTTCACTTTAGGAGCCTGAGGCCCTGGCCACCTCAAGGGCAGGAATGTCACTGTCCTATAAATATATCACTTTCTGCACTCAGGACTCATCTCTGGGAAACTCAGATGGTGCATTCACTCATCCACTCATTCCCTTTGTGCCCCTCTGTTCTGTGTAAGGGACTGTGCCAGTTGTAGACAGGGTATGAGACAGACCCTGATCAGGTCATCAGAAAGGGAAACTTTTCTTTTGCCCTTGAGTTCAGAAAGGAATTTGTAATCAGAGTCCAAACACAAAGGTACGGAAGAACACGGTGAGCAATGTCTTCGCTAGCAGCTGTGCACACAGTGGACAGCTTTCTCCACCTGTGGCCCTTCATAAGCCAGTGTCTTGAGTATCGAGAGGCTTTAAGGCTCTCTGGGACAACAGACGGTGGACCCGTTGCTTTCTGATGATGTAGATTAATCCAGGATAGAAGTTGAAAAGTGTATGTCAAGCATAATGCTGCATCTGCTCTCTCAAATATTACAAAGAGAATAAGGTAATCCCTCTCCTCAAAATCCTTTAAGACCTACAGCTCTTGTTTCTCCTGCCCCATCTCTTAGTGCTCATGTCCCTTCCCTCCCTTCAGCTCAAACCAGAGGAACCAAGGCCAGGCCCGAGATCCCTGGGGCGGGGAGCAGGGAAACAGTGCCTTCCTGGAATCCCTCATATTTGACTTTTTAAATTTACTATGGATGATGTCTGTGCCCTTCAAGTTCTGTTCACAAGTGCCACAAACATTTCATCAATGCTTAGGCCCCACCACCCAAGAACAGCCAAAGCAAATGCCACAGAGAGATGCCGAGCTCCTCTACAAGCCAAAAGCCACCACTGCCTAAATCATGTGTGCAGGAGCCCATCATTGAGCAGGATGGGCCTTCTCCCTACGTGCATTATTAGCAGAACCTGCAGAGGTACGGCGTGTCTGGGTGTGCCAGAGTGAAGCCCTGTAAACTGGACAAGGGGGTGCAGAAGAGTGCTCGGGATCTGTGATAGACACCTCTACCAAGCTGACTTCCGCCCAGATGTCCCCAGGCTCCCTCGGTGGTGCTCCCGCACTGGCTGGGCTGGCCCATGTCTTTTCTTGATGCTCAGAAGTCTCTCTCTCTGTTATCCTAGGCTGCAAAAATAAAGCCCCCAGGAAGTTCTCCCTTATGGTCAATATGGGCCTAAAACTCACGTGGTATCCATGACTCAAACAGCTCCAGGAACCCAGGGTCATCGACCTTCAGGTCAAGCAGGCACTTGGGCCAAAGTATTCTGGGGCAACACGGCCATGTCCGGAAGGCCACAGAGCACATCCAGCTGGGGAGGCAGCTGCTTGCCCTGCGTGGGGCAGCCCAGCCCACAGCAGAGGCGAGCTCAGACGCAATGTCAGCAGGGGGCACAGAGCTGCCTGGTGTAAGAACAGCCATTGTTCCTGCTCAGCCTCTAAAAGCTGAAGTTCCAGAAAAAAAGAGGCAGCAAGCCCAAAGGCCCCCTTTAGGGAGCCAAGCCCAGGGCAGCAGGGAGAGAGCAGGCGGATTGCAGGGCTGAGCCCCCCACAGCTACACGCCCACCACGGCCGGCTGCTGCTCACCCAGCCACCACATGCAGAGACCCTACAGCTACCTTGGGCTCTGGATCCCAGAGCCCGGAGTTTCAGCAGGTCCTCTCATGCCTCCGGTCACAGCCACCTGGGCGCCCCCTCCACACCCCTGCTGTCCTGCTCCTCCCACGAAGCCCTCCTTCCTCGACTGCAATGCCCTTGTCATCCCTGACTTCTAGCTGGTGGGACTCCAGTGACACCCCTCTCCCTGGGGGCTCTTTCTCTCCCTTAGTTTTCCATCAACATCTCTGATGAAGTCTCATTTCTGCAATGCATCTCCTTTTCCTCCTCCTGCCATCTAAAGGAGGTATCCTTCCCCTGCCTCGTGCTAACCACAGCCAGTCCCCCTGTGAGTTGCCAGCAACAGCCAAGCAGAGTTTCTAACCAGATGAGGGTCTGGTCTCGGTACACAAATACTTCTAAAAACATCTATGAGCATCCCATCCATCACTGACCAACACACACATCCAAAGCAGACCCAGCAATTCCTCCTTAGCAGCCCTCTTTCCTCTGGGACACCACTGATCTCCAGAACCCTCAAAACCTCCTTCCTCTACTTCACAGTCTGTACCCCAGCCACAGGGGCGGCTTCACTCTTCAATCCCCCTAATCATTTCCATTCCTTAAGTATCACCCTAGCCTTCCATGTTGCTTTGTGGCTGGACTGCATCACAGTGGCCTCCCACCTGGCCTCCCTCCAGGACCTCCCATTCCCAACCCTTGGACATGCCAAGCCCAAGCAGCCTCTTACAACACCGCTGTCCACCATGCCTGTCACCTGCATGCAAACGTCCAGTGACTCTCTGCTGCCTACTGGGTCAGGTCATACTTACTAGACCTTACTGGAGGAACGACAGCCATAGAGTTTCACGATCCAAATGCTTATTGAAGTGGAAGAAGAGAGTGAACTTGGCATAGGGCAGGATGGTATCTCAAATCAATGAGGATAGGAGGAATTGTTCAGCAGACCAAGATCAGAAATGTATACATTTAGGAAGACCACAGAGTTCATTGCTACCATGTGATGCTTGCAAAAATAAATCCAAGATGTATTAAAGAGAGAAATATTTTTTGAAACCTATGAAAGTATCAGAAGAAAATATAGGTGGTTATTTCATGTTCTTAGGATGGAGATGGCCTCCCTGAGAAGTGTAGAATCTAGAAAGGAAAAGACAGATTCCACAAAATGTGATTGTTTAATGGCAGAATGATAAAGATTCCATAAATAAAAGACTGATAAAAACATTTGCAAAATATATAAGAAATAAGAGATTAGTGTTGAAAATATAAGTTCCTCAAAATCAGTAAAGCAAAAAAACAAAACCAGACACACACACAAAAAAAAACAGGATAATGGACCAAGAACATAAATAGGCAATTTTCAGAAAAGTAAATACAAATGGCCAATATTTGAAAAGGATACTGAACTGCCCTAGTAATCAGGTAAAGGGACATTAAAACAAAATGAGGTATCTTTTTTTTTTAACAAGAATTTCAAGTGTCAGCGAGAGAATGTAGGGACAACAATGACACAACTCGGGAGGAGGGTCACTTGGTAAGCCCTTCTGGGGTGCAGTTTGCCAGCAGGCATAAAAATTCAAATTTTGGATAGCTTTTGACCCAGCAATTCCTCTCCTACGTGACTCTCTTGTGCACAAAATGCCATGTGTGGAGGCTTCCGGTACAGTGTTGTTAAGAGTCTGGTATGTTCCAGCAGCAGCCAAAAGTCTATGGAGCTGGAGGCAAGGATTTGGGGGAGGCCAGGTAACAGGTGAGGCTGGAGGGGTCAGAAGGCCCAGGAGGTTGTGCAGAGCCTGGATTTCATTATCAGTGGAATGAGAAGACACCAGAAAATTCTGAGCAAAGGAGATCAGAGTGTTTTCTGTTTCTAAAAGTTGGTGTGGGAATAGATTGTCAGGAGGCAGGATGGAAGTCAGGAGGGCCTGCAGTGGGCCAGGAGCAAGATAGCTGCACCTTATATGTGTGGCTGGCAATGGAGGGAGGTAGAAATGGGTGTCCTCATGACAAGTGTTGAGGGCACAGGAGGGGACTTGCTGATGGCTTGGGTGAAGGAGAGCAAGAGAAGAATCTCTTCCATTTGGGGCCTGAACAGCTGGGAACAGTGGTGCCATCCACACGGTCTAGCCGGTAGCTCTGTGTACACTGTCATTAAAGTGCCACAAAAGTGACAGTGAATGGACACAGAATCACTGAGGGTAAGGAATGGGGGCCCGGAGGGCTATACCTCATTTACTGGCTTGAGAACGAAGGGTAAAAAAGCTTTTGACTTTTCTACTTTTACCATTTTGCTTTCTGGACTGGACACTACGTAGTCACTGCCTGTTTTCTCTGAATTTGCAGAGCAGTTTCAGCCATGAAGGTGGGCAGTTTGCTCCCGATCAGAAGGGATACCCTTCAGAAATCTCCGGAGACCAGCGGGTGGCAGCAGTCTGGTCTCCTCCTCAGGGTCTCGTTCCCCTGCAGCTCTCCATCATCCTGGAGCAAGGGGCCGGGGGTGGGTGTCAGAAGTCAGGCCCACAGGCCGAGGCACAGAGTTTGGATTTTAATCTACCATGTGCTGGGACACCATAAGGTCAGAATGGCTGGGTCCGGTTTTGAAAGACGCCTCGGGCTGGTGCACAGAACACCTGGAGTGGGGGTCAAAAGCAGATGCACACCAGGGAATGGAGGAGACATTCTGAAACTAGAGCAAGGCAACGATTGCACAGCTCTGTGCTGGCCACCACTGGATCATCTGCATCAAAATGGTTAAAGTGGGGAATTTTGTGTTCATGTATTTTACTGTAATTTTTAAAAAATGGATGCAGAGAGAATGACTGAGGGCCAGTGGACCTCCTGGTGATGACAGGGGATTTTCTCTAAGGGTAATGGTGGTGATAACTAAAGCCATCATGTTTGGGATGTTCTGGGGTTAGAGCAGCAGGACTACAGATGATTTAGAAATAAAGTAAAAGGTACTTCTTGTTTTGTACTGAGCACCTGGATGGATGATGGTGCTACTTAAGGACGCACCACAGGACTCTGACCATGGCAGACCATCACAGAGGGGGCCTGAGAAATGAGGAGCTGAGAGGGAAAGCAAGCCCAGCGGGGAAGAGTCACATAAGGAAACAGTCCTGAAAAACGGACCACCGGCCAAAGATCAAGGTCCACAGCACCGAGTCTGCAGTCCCTCTTCATCTGGGGAAGGGCTGGCTGGAGCCGAGCAAAAAGCCAAGTCTCTCCACTCAGGGGAGCGCGGGGTCAGGAATGAGCTAACCATGACGAGACACAAACATCGCTGAGCGTTGTGTCACTTGCATCCCCTTCAATCAGCGTCTTCCGTGGGCCCCCGAGTCGCACTGACTCCTAGAGAGACCGCCCAAATTGGAGGATCCTCCAAATGAGCCAGACACCTGCTCCGTGGTCTCTGGCCAGCAGGCGTCCCCCACCTCCCAGGTCCAATAACTTTCCTGGATGTGAGGACGAGCATCCCCTCACTTGAGGCTCAAGTGTGCGGGGGCATCGGAAGACCCACCTCAAGGAGCTCTCAAAATCAGAGGACATGAACAGTAGCAAGAGAACAGACATGCCCCACAGCCGGCACCCACCTGGGTGAAGAAGCCTGCAGTGCCAGCCTGGCAGGAGCCGTGTTCCTCCCCGTACTTCTTCTTGTACTCTAGACAGGGAGGAGAGAGAGAAGCAAACCACAGCGGCATCAGTGCATGCCAGGCGTGTGGGAGCAGCCGAGCGCACTGGCCACTTCCCCAGGGCTGCCGTGGGCTGGGCCGGGCCGGGCCAGGCCTGCAGTGCCGTCCAGACTGGGGCGCAGAAGGGAAGTCTCAGTAATGCGGCAGGCCTCAAAAATCCAGGCTCTGGATGCCAAGTGCCCCAGCAGACTTCCTCCATGCACATGAGGAAGAGGGGCTGCAGCCGAAGGAGTTCAGTGGGAGGCTGGTGACAATTATTTCATTTACTTCAGAAAGGACGCAGAGCCCTAGCAAGGAGAGGGGCTGAAAACATGGCCCGGAAATGGAATGCGGTGGCCATCCCAGCGTGGAGTCCCCTGGAAGAAGGCCAAGCCTCCCATAAAGACTCTCCATACAGCTGGAGGCAATATGCTCTCTACCCCAACAGAAACCAGCCATCAGAGAGAGCCCAGGGACTGCGGGAAGAGGGGAGCCGCTGGGCCTGCCCAGCCCATGGCTGTACTACCACCAATGGTGTGTGGTGACACCACCCACAGACACTTTGTCTTCCACGTGTGGCGGGACAGGGGACACTGTCTCCAGGTCAAAAGAAACAAATGGTTAAGCTCCTTTCTTCCCCCACTCCCTCTGTTCCCATACTCGGACCCTTCAAGGGGCATTCTGATGCTGTTTTATTTTTCAATTGGCAAGGAGGGTCATTAGCATGTCCCAGGCACTGTGTAAGCTGCATCCACTCACACCATTTCATTGATCCCTCATCCCTGGGAGCCCAGGCTGCCATTTGTTAACAGGTAAAACTCCTGAGGCTCAGAGAGGGTAAGTGGATTATCCCAGGTCACACAGCTAGTAAATGGCAAAGCCAGGTTTCTACCCAAGCTCAGCAGACTGGAAATTCACACTCTCTCACCTCTGGCCTATCAACGGTTTTGCAGAGAGAGCGATTACACGCAACCCAGAAAGTGATCAGCTGTTTGAAATAATGACATGAGTAGAGACATGGCAATGGCGAGATGCTTGGCTCAAGTGACTAATTACATGTGAAGCTGACAGTGCTGGATGCCTGCTCACAGTTGCCCCTTGCACAGGCCAGGCTACCCAGCGTAACCCAGTGATCCCCATGTGACCCCCTGGGCTCTTGCCAAGTCTTTGGTACCATAAAAAGCAAGATACTTAATTCTGAAACATGAAATGAACAATACAAGAAACAATGAAGCCATGATTGCAACACAGTGCCACTTCCTGCAGTTCAGTGTCTACTGGGGGGAGAGAGGGAAAAGGGCCCTGGGGAAATATACAGAGTAATTCGGTTTCTAACAACACTCACCACAGAGTCTGGTAACGTTTTCCAGTAAGAGGCCATTAACCGGCTGCTAAATTACAACGGAATGTCCACTGAGTTACTCCTCTTCCAGACAAGGGCTCGATCAGTTCCTCCCGCCTTGTCCTGTTATTACAAGGAGGCCTCACAGGCCTGCCAGAAAGAAACTCAGGGAGACACAGACTTGCTTGTTCTCATGTAAAATCTTGCACCAGGGCCGGGAGTGGGGCTTATGCAAAGTCATGAAGAGATCCTGCATCAAGTTGCATGATGGCAAGAAATAAAACAATAAATCCTGTCAAATAGCACAATGGCAAGAAGGACCAAAATGTCCCAACCTGAACGGTTTTATTAAATCTGAAAGATCTGGCAAAAAGCATACCTACCCACTGACTCTAGAGTCAAACACCCAATTGTAACTCAAGAAATGAAACAGACAAAGGAAATTCAGACCCAGGAGCTAAACAAGACTACAGTGTAGCACACACCAGTCCAGCCTCATAAGTTTATGACCTAACTAGGAAGCACGTGGGCATATTCTGTGTTTTAAAGAAAGCAGTCCCAACGTCTCTTCTGTGACAAAGGGACTCCAAAATTAATAAAAAACATCTTTCTCCACCTCATTCCCAAACTGTGCTGGTGAGCTCTAGGCCAGGAGCAGGGGCCAGGGCTACTGAGGTGGCCACAGCCAGACTGGGAGCTAGAACTGCCTACACATGGCCCCAGGCCACAGGCCTGCCAGGGGAAGCTCTTCCACCAGCACCCTGCCCCAGCCAGCAGGGAAGCACCATGAGAGGCCAGCCTGGTCTCACCCAGCCGGGAAGCACTTGCAGGGAAGCAAGTGCCCTCTTGCACGGGCTCTGATATTTCTGAAATCCCAGGGTCTACACCTGCCTTCTCAGGGTGCTCAAACCATATGAGGCTTCTGATGAGAGGGCTGCCCAGAAACTTTGGACACTCTGTGATTAATCCCTTCAACTTGGAATAGGATCCAGCCCTAATGCCTCTACCCGCTCTGTGAATGAACCCTGCAAAGCTGTTCCTGGCCGACCACATCTGCAGATGCAGCGCCATTAGGCAAGCACGGCCTCCCAAACCCCCAGGTTCTGAGCCCAGCCCAGCCTGCTTCCTTTCGATAAGAAAAACAGAATCACACGGTGCTGGCCTGCTGGTTATTCCAGAATCCTGCCTGAGAAATTATCTAAGAAAGCACCTCATGAAGTGAGCAAGGCCACACAGGTAACCTGACACAGCAGGGGGTGCAGGGAGCAGGCCAGGGCCCATGTGGGCTTTCCTGAGTGGCACCGGCCTGCACACCAGAGCCTGGACACCACACACTTCACTTGTTTTTACCCTTATGAGCACTATTTCCATGAGTTTAGGACACCATTATTTAACCCTGAATCTTTCTATTAAAAAAAGATACAAAAAGGGCAGGTTTATTTCTCTCTAATCCACTTTGCAAGTGCCCATATGCAGGCCTTTCTGCTCCAGAAAGTGCATCCACAGGGTAGTCCACCATGCCCATAACCTAAAGCCCTTGATTCTGCCAGCCCAGACCTGAGAAGGCAGGCCAGCCTCCACCACAGAGCAATGAGAAGGGAGGCGCAGGTGAAGAAACAGGCTGCCCCATCCTAGGGCCCACGAGAAGCCCTTGGGTCACAGTGAGAGGCCCAGGAGGTGCAGGGTGGAGGGGGTGGGCCGTATTCCAGGGTAGACCGCTCTGCACACGGGCTCACAAGCACACCACTGCACCCCCGCAGCGGCCACGCCTAGGCACATCCCCAAGGAAATCACTTGGAGATGCTGGGGACAGGCTGAAAAGCTTGGCCTTCCTGCCGTGCATGGGTTTGAATCACTGTGCCTGTGTCACACACTGATTTGTGAAGCTGTATGGCTCCTCTATTCTAAAAATGGTAGTATTTTCCTTGGTTTAGCCGCTGGTTTTACTAAACCCTGTCTAAGCAGAAAGCAATTCAGAGAGGAAACGCCACTGATTTCCAAATGTTCACAACCCAAAACTCAATGCATGGAGCCCAAACTAATGAATTTTAATTCATTCAAGAACTAAATTGGGCCAAGTCACTTCCTGTACTCTTTCCAAAACGCTGGTGGGATAACACCAACCACAGAAAGATCAAGATTTACACATGTGTAACATACATTATTCCTACTAACCTCTCTTCCTGTTACCCACTTGAGAAAGTTTCATGTTTTAAAGCTAGTCTTTTTAACATACCAATTTAAAAATTATTTTCCCATAGTTCCTTAGCATAGCCATGAAATAAAATATCAAAAAACAGCCTTCCAGTCTTACATCGTTTCTGAATTTTTGCTCGATTTCTGAGTGAATGTGAAATAACTGTTAATTAAACAATAATTAAGAGGACAATGAATTTGGGCAGGTAGATCTCTAGTAATAAAAAGGGGATTTAAATACAAAACTTAAGACAAAACCCTTAAGTTTTGTTAGAAAGGACCACAATCTAAATTGGGTGGGGGTGGGGGTGGGAGTAAATGATCTAAATAGCTAGGTTAGAGAGGAAAGGGGGAACATTTTGTCAAAATAATTGACAAACTATGGTGAGCATTAAACACAAATTGCATAAAGCCAGAAACTTACAATTAAGTGGCAAAAAGAGACTTTAAGAGGAGAAAAAATATTTACATAATATCTGTAATTTCAACCCCATCCATTCATTTTACAGATGAAGTCACTATTGCTCAGAGAGAGCCAGTGGTTCATTAAAAGCCACACAGCTAATTAGCCTGAGTCAGGATTAGAGAGCAGGGCTCCTGACTGCCCATCTGCTCTGCCACACCACTGGGCTTCATGCAGCACATTTCTAGGAACCACATTCTTATCCTTTAAAAAAAATCCTTTTCTGTCAATGAATGAATGGATAAACAAAATGTGGTATATTCACTCCAAGGACTATTATATGGCCTTAAAAAGGAAGGGAATTCTGACACCTGCTGCCACATGGATAAACCTTGAGGACATCATGTTAAGTGAAATAAGCCAGATACAAAAGGACAAATACTGTATGGCTCCACTTATATGAGGCACTTAGTCATCAGATCCATGGAGACAGAAAGCAGAATGGTAGCCGCCAGGGGCTGGGGTGGGGGGACGCGGAGTAACTGTCTGATGGGTATATATCAGTGTGGGATGAGGAGAATGTTCTAGAGACAGATGGTGGTGGCTGCCCAACAATGTGGATGTACATGGTACCACAGAATTGCACACTTAAAAATGTTTAAAATGGTAAATTTTGCTATTTATTTTGCTATGACAAGAAAATTTTTTTAATGTTTCATAATCTTTTAAATGTTCCTTCGCTCAGAATCTAGTAACCCATTTTGCCAACCCCCTACTACAGAAGCAAACAACTTTACAGGCACAAAATAACATACCTACCTGCAACTCAGGTGTATCATGCAGTCAAATGCTCTGCTGTTGAGTTATACCCCTGACTCACATGTTATGGATGTCCTGCCTGTGTCCCCCAAAATCCGCACATTGGAACCACGCTCCCCATGTGATGGCATTAGGAGGCAGGGCCTTGGGAGGCAATTAGGATTGGATGAGGTCACGAGGGCTCCACTCCGGTGCCCTTGTGGGAGTCCCAGGAGGGCCAGCTCTCTGAT